GGGGAAGAAACCAGTGGCTGCCATGCTGCCCGGAAGACCAGAATCAGAACAGGAAGTGGCAGTTTCAGGGGGAATCATGGGGACGGACAGGAAGTTAAAGGGGGAATCATGGGGACAGACAGGAAGTTAAAGGGGAAATCATGGGGACAGACAGGAAGTTAAAGGACCCAGAACAGGAAGAGAAAGGGGGAATCCCAGCTGCAGCCACGTCAAAAGATTTGTTGCATGCCAGAAGGGCTTCGCGTGCCAGCTGTGGCACGTGTGCCATAGGTTCGCCATCACTGAATGTGTTGAGATCCCAAAATTACAATGGTGCCCCACATGACGATGATAATCAGTCCCACTGAAATCGCTGTTTAGTGAAATCGTCGTCATGCGAAAATCCTTTCCCCATTGGAATGCATTGGAACCCGGTTTAATGCATTACAATGAGGAAAATGCCTCGTCGTCCAGCGAAGATTGCCCATAGGGAAGCCATTTTGCGAGGGCCGATCAGCTGTAAAAATGTCTGCCCTGCAAAGCATGGGTTCGGAAAACACAGGGAAGCCATTTTGCGAAGCTGATGATCACCGGAAAATATCGTCGTCTTGCGAATAAACGGTTCACGAAGCACAGACCTAATCGACGTCCAGCGAAAATCCCCCATAGGATCGCAAAAAGTCATCATGCAGATTTGTTGTTTAGCGGGGTCATCATCTTGCGAGGTACCACTGTACATGGAATCTAGTTTTTAAGATGGCAATATTATGAAATCACTCTCAAATAATGAAAATTATAAATACAGTGGTGCCTCGCTTTATGATTACCTCGCAAAATGGTTCATTTACAAGATGATGGTTTTTTGCGATCACTATAGCGCTTCGCAGAATGGTTTTCCCTATGGGCAATTTTTGCTAGATGATGTTTCGGTCCGTGCTTCACAAGACGGTTTTTTTTTCAGGACCGTTTTTCCTAAGACGACAATTTTGACAGCTGGGTCTGCGCTTCGCAAAACTTTTTTTTACAGACTTTTTTTGCAAGATGACATTTTGACAGCTTCGCATAACAGTTTCTCTATGACCAATTTTCGCAAGACGACGATTTTTCCTCCCCATTGGAACACATTAAATAGATTTCAATGCATTCCAATGGGGAACCGCATTTTGCAAGACAATGTTTTCACAAGACAGCGATTTTGGCGGAACGAATTAACATTGTCTTGCGAGGCACCACTGTACCTTAGAATACTAGAAGCAGATAACATCCTGCTAAAAAAAGTTAAAGAACTGACAGAAAGGGAATACATCAAAAGACCGTGAAAATCTTAAAATCAAAATGAAATGGTAGAAATACAAACACACAAACACATGGGCAGTTCCAATAATTAGATACCCAGCTGGAATAATAGATTTGACTCAAAATGAATTAGAAGAATTGGATCCAAAAACACAGAAATTAATAAATGTGCACCATACACTGCATCCAAAAAGTGATGTGGATGGATTTTATCTACCATGAAAAATTGGAGGCCATGGATTACAGCAAATACAGCAGGTAGTACAGGAGAAAAAAAGAAGACTAAATATCAGTACAAGTAGAGAAAAATTACTTAAGGTGGTAAAAATGGATAATATTTTGAAAACAACAGAAACAAAGGCTCAATATAAGAAACAACAATTTGAAAATAAATTAAACAGCTGGAAAAATAAACCACTATATGGACAACACCTGAGAAATATTGATGGAAAGCATGATCATAATTCAACATGGGCATTCGTAAAACTGAGGACCATTAAGAAAGAAACTGAAGGTTTGATTTTTGTTGCACAAGAACAAGCGCTCCAAACCAATGTGATGAAAGCTAAGATCTAAGAAATCAGTGCTAACAGCAAATGTTGACTCTGCCAAGAAAATGATGAAATTGTGTCACACCTCATCTGCAAACTTATGTGTATAATGTTCCCTTTAAAGAATTTACCCAGCAAATGTTGACTCTGCCAAGAAAATGACGAAATTGTGTCACACCTCATCTGTGAACTTATGTGTACAATGTTCCCTTTAAAGAATTTACTTTAACTGTGATCCCCAGACAAAAGTAGTAATAGTAATTATAGTGATAATTAGAGACAGAGGTATTTTTATTCGTATATGAATATCCCCGCACAGGTGGCGATAACGAGGGTCCAGCCCCATGGTGCCGGACGGTCCACTCACCGATCCGCCGCTTTCATGGATCCCACAATTCTTCTAGTGGCTATGCAGATAATGATCTGCGAGCCACTCTTCAACCTTTCAGTGAGGCTTGTCCTCCCACCTCCTGCCAGGAATGGCTTGCAGATCACAATCCGTGAAGCCATCGGAAAAATCGTGGCGTCCGCGGCAGTGGCAGATTGCTGAGTAGACTGTCTGGCCCCATGGGGCTGGACCCTCATCACCACCTGTGCGGTGATACTCATATACGAATACTCCCATCTCTAGTGACAATAGTAATGGTAATATAATAATGCTGGTGTAATTTAACAAAAATTAAAAATATTTGGTAGTACTGTATTACTTTTGTCGGTTGGTTGGCTGGTTGGCTGGTTGGCTGGTTGGCAGGCAGGCATGAAAACTGGGAATTGTTCCTTTACCTTCAGTCGTTTTCCATAGATTTCCTCTTTTATTTCAGATATGCATAAAAGGAAAAGTCCACATATTTAAGTATCTGAATATGGAAGCATGCAAGGTTGTGCCAGATCTTCCAGATTACGGTAGACAACCAATGGGGTTTGGTTCTTGGTAAGTGTGGTGGATTTCACATTCACTGGTTTGAAGAAGTGCCCGGAGAGATCCCAACTCCATTTTGCGTGTTAACACATCAGTTGTCTTGTTCTTTTTCTTTTTTTGGTGTTGTGAGAAGAAATAAGGTGTTAACATGTCACGGTGCACTTTTTAAAAAAATTTATTGTGCTTTTAACCTTTTGTACAGTGTCATATAACTTCCCTTGTCCAGCCGCAGGTGTAAATGCTGATCTTATTTCTCATTATCAAGCTGTGTTGTTCTTGGCAGGCTCTCATTTTGGCTTAGTCTGGTAACAGACATCTCTGAGCAGTCAGCCACATTATCATGACTTGCTAAATTAAAATGATGGAGTGTGACTTTTATTTTTATTATACTGTGCCAAGTGATGTAAGGTCTGAACAAAAAGAGGAACTTAACTGACAGGCTCGAGAGTTCCTCGTCTAGTCCGCTTGCCCCAGGGTAGGACGCATTACAGGAAGCTTCTCATGGAGTGATTTTTTTTTCTGAATCCTGAGTGAGTGAGTGAGTGAGTGAGTGAGTGAGTGAGTGAGTGAGTGAGTGAGTGAGTGAGTGAGTGAGTGAGTGAGTGAGTGAGTGTGTGTGTGTGTGTGTGTGTGTGTGTGTGTGTGTTAGAGAGAGAGAAAGAAGGAGAGAGGATAGATGGGTGGGGAGTATTTGTGCAGTGGTGTTGCCATTACAGCTTTATGGACTAGGTGTCCACCCTTGCTCTGACTTATTTTTCTTCCCTCCCATGTCATCGCTTAATGGTTAATGCAACATGGGGAGCGGCTCCGTCAACCATTGCTAACAGGTGTGGTGCAGGAGAGTTTTCGATCTTAGCCTGCATGAATGTTGAAAGACTGAACGTTCTAAACGGGGATAACGGATAAAAATGGGATAGCGTTTTGGGAAACAATCTGTGTTGTCTAGTTCTGATCTTTCCCTTCCCTGGTGGATACTGTGTACAGTCGTGCCTCGCTTTAGTATTGCCCCGCATTATGACGAAACCGCATTACGACGATCTTTTTGTGATTGCAATTGCGATCGCAAAACGGTGGTCTAAATGGTTTTTTTTTCGCTTTGCGATGATCGGTTCCCTGCTTCAGGAACATATCCTTCTTCACAAAATGATGGTTTCAAAATGGTGGCCGGGTAAACAAAATGGCTCCCCGCTGTTTTCTGGGACGGATTCCTCGCAAGACAGGCAGCGAAAACTGCTGCCCTATGGAGGATCTTCTCTGGACGGTGAGTTTTGACCCCATTGGAATGCATTGAACGGGTTTCAATGCGTTTCAATGGGTTTTTTCCGCTTTACGATGTTTTCGCTTAACAGCGATTTTCCTGGAACGGATTATCGCCGTTAAGCGAGACACCACTGTATCTAGCAGGGAAAGGGGAATATAGTTGCACCATTTTTTGTGGCTTTGCTTGGTTTGTAACTTTTTCTTTCTCCGTCTGCAAAGATGCTTCTCCTACACAGTCTGTTTTGTTTTCCTTTCCCACCCCTATCCTGGAACAAACATCAGCCAAAGAACCTTTGAAATCCCAAACTGTCTTGTCCCCAAATATGTTTGTTCAGTATTGTTTGGCTGGCAAATTCATCTGCAAGAAGGCACTCTGAGTCACCAGAGTCACCACTTTGAATTGAACCTAAAAATTAAATTGTAAGCTTATGCAATTGTTTTAGTAATGGATATACTCACAATATATTCGCAAAGGTTTTCACGGCCAGGATCTAATGGTTGTTGTGGCTTTTTCGGGCTCTTTGGCCGTGTTCTGAAGGTTGTTCTTCCTGACGTTTCGTCAGTCTCTCAGACTGGCAAAACGTTAGGAAGAACAACCTTCAGAACATGGCGAAAGAGCCCGAAAAACCCACAACAATCGATATACTCATAGTTTGTCATCTCCTAATAACATTGCAGTCACCATATTCTAGTCTGTCGTTTCTGAACACATTTTGTAGACAGTCCCACACAGAACCCCTGGGGGTAGTTCAAAATGATGTAACAAAGGCAGATGTTCTCATGACCAGATCAGTAACCTCTTACATTGGATGTAAGTAAGCATAGTGGCCTAAACTGATCAAAGGACACAACTGGCTATAGCTGACACTTGATTGGGTTTGGAAAAATCCCAGTCTCTAAATCAGCCTTTTAAAATTAGGTTGCTCTCCCAGGTTTACATAGTAAAATAAAACTTCCCACAATATATCTCTCAGTATATTGTGAAGACAGCACACTTCAAGAAGGATGCTTACAAATTGGACCAAGTTCAGAGGAGGGTGACGAGGATCAGGGAACTGGAAACCACGCCTTATGAGGAAAGGCTGAAAGAATTGGGCATGTTTAGTCTTGAGAAGCAGTGACAGATTTTACTTTCTTGGGCTCCATGATCACTGTAGATGGTGACAGCAGCCACGAAATTAAAAGACGCCTGCTTCTTGGGAGGAATGTGATGACAAATCTCGACAGCATTTTAAAAAGCAGAGACATCACCTTGCCAACAAAAGTCCACATAATCAAAGCTATGGTTTTTCCTGTAGCGATGTATGGAAGTGAGAGCTGGACCATAAAGAAAGCTGACTGCCACAGAATTGATGCTTTTCAACTGTGGTGCTGGAGGAGACTCTTGAGAGACCCCTGGACTGCAAGGAGAACAAACCTATCCATTCTGAAGGAAATCAACCCTGAGTGCTCACTGGAAGGACAGATCCTGAAGCTGAGGCTCCAGTACTTTGGCCATCTCATGAGAAGAAAAGACTCCCTGGAATAGACCCTAATGTTAGGAAAGTGTGACAGCAGGAAGAGAAGGGGATGACAGAGGACGAGATGGTTGGACAGGGTCATCGAAGCGACCAACATGAATTTGACCATACTCAGGGAGGCAGTGGAAGACAGGCGTGCTCTGATCCATGGGGTCTCGAAGAGTCGGACATGACTAAACGACTAAACAACAACAACAACAAGTCTTGAGAAAAGAAGACTGAGGGGTGATAGGATAGCACTTTTCAAATATTTGAAAGACTGTGCTATAGAGGAGGGACAAGATCTGTTCTCGATCACCCGAATTGCAGGACACACAACAATGGGCTCAAGTCAACAGGAAGCCGCATTGGTGCTTCCTGGGTAGGCTGCCCCACGGCAGCTTCCGCGCAGGGAATGGGCACTGCTGTCCTGTGAGGGGTGCTGGGGGGAGATTTGGCACCAGCACGGCATGCTCCTCCACAAGTGCGACACACCCACCCATGAGCATAGGGGTGCCCCACCCCCAACTGGTCCTCGCATAGAGCCCACACACCCCCACCGGTCCGTGGACCAAAAAAGATTGAGGACCACTGGACTAGATGGCCTTGTAGGCCACTTTGAACTTAATTTTTCTGTGATTCTATGACAGACAGCATGTAGGATATCTATGCTAGGAAAACGATGGTTATTTAATTCCATGAAATACTATAAATCAAAACCCCAAAGTCACTGAGCACTATATTTGTTGTGTATTGTCTATGGCTTTCATTATTATTTATTTATGATGGGCCTGAAGATATACTTAGATGCTTAGGTAAAGGTAAAGGTTCCCCTTGACAATTTTTGTCCAGTCGTGTTCGACTCTACGGGCGGTGCTCATCCCCATTTAGATGCTTAACCAAGATTAAATGGAAGGTACACCCTGCCGGAAATCTTACACCCACAGTCTAATAAGTACAAAATAAGTGAGCTAAGCAGAACTTGTAAGCAAGAACCTTTCTCAACCATAACACATAAGGCTAATAATACACAGTTTCTGTTTTTGCTCTTCGGTTCTGAGACTGCTTCAGTGGTGGAAGATGAAGTCAGGGTATCTAACACAGGAAAGAACCACATGTAGGGATGAGTGCCTGCGAGTTGCACATAGGAGAGAATCTATTAAAAGCTGAGCCGAGTCTAAGAAATGACAATCTTCTTACATCTTGATAAACCAGTCCAGAAACAAAATATTTTTCATGAATGCTGCGCTACTCTCCAGTCACTGTTGCTGCTGCAAACCGAAGCAGCTAAATAAACTTATAGTCCTTCCAGTCAGGCTTTGTTTAGTACGAGCTCTGCACCTGAGGGCAGGTGGATGCTTTGGCCCGTGCAGAGCAATGAGAGGATCTGCATAGCTGGCCGCAGGAGCAACCACTGGTTGCATGCATCAGATGGCTAACTGGTTCCCAGTGAACCAGGTTTCCTTAGCACGTTGTCACATGTGAATGAAGGATAAGCAAAACAATGGAAATCCATCCTATGCCTCTCCTCCAGTTCCTTCCCATGGCAGTTTCGTGCAGGTTTCCACTTGTTTGTGAGTCGTCTTTATTGCCCCTTGTGCAGATGTCCACAGCATGATATCCGATTAAATGCTAAAATTGATAAAAGCCTAAAACAATTAAGATATTCGTCAACATAATTAAGCAAAACAGGACTACTTTTCTTGAAATTTCTAAAATGCTCTTTGCTCTTCCTCTGTATGCATGAAGGACTGCCTGCCTCATGTATTGAAAAAGTAAATAATAATAATGCAGATTTAGGAAATCTGCTTATATGAGCAGTACCTACCTTATATGTACCTACCTGATTCATTCTTCAGCTGGTCATGGGAAAGGGTGAGGAGGTGTGCAGCAAAACCTTCCCATTACTTGCTAGAGAAATCATGTTCCAGGATATCATCCACCCACCATAGAGATCAGGAATTTTGGCCTCCAAGTCTTCCCTTGGTTTTGCAGACTTCCTTTCAAACCCAGCCTTGCAGTTATTTTGAAACCGGCCATAAAAGAAAAAAAAAAGGGAGTCTCTCTAGATAATGAACCCTGTGCCCTTTAGCATTTGTGTGGAGAAATACTCGTATTTATGCAGTCAGTCACATACCGTACCATTGGTCTAGTAACAGTTGCCCTCACTGAGCACTTCTATCCTCAGCAGCATTCCAAACACGAGTACATGTATGCAGAGGAGGGCTAAGGTGTGCCAGAAGAGAAATTGATTGAAACCTTGCTCATTTCATGCCACTTACCCCATGCCCACAGCAGCATGTCTGCTACCTACCCACTTTCTGTAATGTGTTCTTTGTGGAGAATTGCTCCCTTTTGACTGCAGCTCTCTCTGAGAGCACAGGCTTGCATCTTGGGGCAGCTCCTTATAAATAATAATAGATACAGACTGTTTCTGAAGCAGGCGATTTTTAAAGCAAGGGGCCACTTGCCATGGAATGACCTTCACTTAGCAGCGCCTGCCTGTAGGGCCCATCAGTCTGCTGTATTTTCTACTTGCCCATATTTGCTGTCTTGCTGCAGATTTCCCCAGGGCATCAGATGCCATCTGGACAGTTGATTCTTTGTTCAATGACCATCCCCAGTGGGCCAGATGAGACCCATTCTTACAATGTTTCTATCTGTGGCCATTTTCAAATGCGCAGTGTCTAGGATAGGCACAGTATTGAGCTGTCTAGTCTGTACACCTAGCATAGCAGAGGGGGTTTTGCCTGCATATACTCTCTGTTCCGTATTCTTTTCCTGGGGGGTACCTCTGTGATGATGTTGAAGTTGTCAGTTTCAATGGATAGGAGCTATGCTCAGTCTCCTGGGGGGCATATATTAGGAACAATGTTTGAAGTCTTGTATTGATTATTAATACATTACTGAACCAGTGTCAGGCATCTGTTTTCCATACTGAATGAAAGCATGCTCTTGTTTGTTTGCATGAGTGTGTGTTCGTGTGTGAGTGTATTTTATAAACCACCCTTTTAAGTCGAAAGGCAATGTGGACATTATATGAGGAAATAAATAATCTCACTGCCCAAAGCAGGACTTATTCATTAGTTGCTGCTGTAGATGGTGGCTACTCTCCTGAAAATGATGGTACCAGAAAACTCTAGCTACCTTCAACACAAATGGTGTATTATTATACTCTGGCTCTAGATTAAAATGCCAGGGATATGAAATGCAGAAGTTCCTCTTCTGAAAGTAGAGCGAAAGGAGCTCTTCTGTCCTAGGGAGAGGAGACAAAGCATTTAGAGATTCTCTTCATACATTTTCATTTAAAATATAGCACCTGTGTTTTGCTAAAGTAAGTCGCAGTTAGAATTGGCCAATTTGGCTTAATGGAATTTATGAAGGAGTCGACTCACCAAATCTCCATTGATTCAGTGGGCTTACTCTAGTGTGATGTAATACACTTAAGCGGCAGGATTTGGGCCAATGTTAAAATCTTAGAATAGGAGTAAGTTATATTAAAAACAAATTAAAACAAGCTGTGCATGAGTGTTTTCAGAGGGAGTGTAACTCCCATCTAGCACAGGCTGGATTTCTCACAAGGGGCTATTCTTGAAATCATTTCTGGAATAGCCACTTGAAGAGACTTCGTGTGTTTCTTCATGATTCCCCCTCCAACTTTAAAGAAATCGTGATTACTTGGCTTTCAAATAGCATTTCCGTCATGCCAAATACAATGCAAATTAATACAAATACATATGCTGGACATTTTCACACGCTCCAGAAATTGAGAGCTCTTACCTTTTAATATAAAGAGATGTTTCTGGGAGAAGGACAGCAAGTTTAGGATAAAAGTGCTTGGGTTTCCAAAACATTTTATTTCACACATAGTTTTTTTCTTCTTCTGTCTTTTCCAAGAAGTCCACAATAGCTGATAAAGGGCTGCTTTTTTAAAAAAAAAATCCCAAATCTTTGCAAATAACAGACATAACAAAGCATATTTTCATCTGTCCTTTTTGGATAGCCAAGGATGATGTAAAGTATGGTAGGATCAAGTAGAGCTAAAGATTGTGACAGTGACTGGAAGGACTTGTTTTCTGAAGAGGTGGATTCACTGAGATGGAACTGTTGTACTGTTGTGCAGTGTTTCCGTGCCTTCCTCTGACCAAACACTTTGCAGGCCTCCTGGGCAAATGGCCGGAGGCACAAACATTTGGCCAACAGAAAGGAACGTCTCTAAAGGGAAACTGCGCATGACTTACAAATTGAAGGTGTGCCTGGGTGTTGTTGTCTGGCATCTAGTGGTTCCTAAAGAATTTCTTGGTTAATCCGACAGTACAATGACCAGCATTTTATGTGCTTAACAGCCACGAGGAACTGTATTCCAGCCGGCCATATGGTGCACTGGATTCTGGCTTCAATAGTGTGGATAGCGGAGACAAAAGGTGGTCAGGAAATGAAGTAAGTACACATGGTTTGCTTTTTGTTTGGGGGATAATTGTAGCATATACGGGAAGGAGAAAAAAACAAGTCAGAGCAACAGTAGAAGGCTTAGTTGCCAAAGCCCAGAGGGCTATAATCTTGAAACCACTTATTTTGCAGTGGCTGAAGGATTGAGGCCAACCTGTCATTTCCACATCTCAGATAGCAGATAGAAAATGATCTGATCAAACAGAGGCAGAAGGAACTTGCAAGCAATGTTGTTTGTACCATTTCTTATTTTACGGCACTTTAAGCTTAAAAAAGAGGTGGGGATGGGAACCAGAGAAGATGTTTTGCTTGAAACTAAACAGTGGACATTCATAGAAAGGAGTGACGTGCTATGTTAACATAAGTATTTTTCAACCACCTGTGTCCAACCTGTTTCACAACTGGTCATTTGAAAGTCGAATGTGCAAGCCAGTGGTTTAATGGTGCTGTAAAGATTTTCTTTCTGAGTGCCTTATCCTAAGCTATGGCCAAATAAAACGGATTTTAAACCTTCAGTTTTGTAGAAAGGAAACATTATAAATTCAGCCAGCCCTCATGTATGCTTTAAGCCTCTTTAATGACCTGAGGAGGGAGCTCTTTATTGGAATGTTTTAGAGTCCTGAATATCCTATTTTAAGAAGCTTGATAAATACCGTCTGGGTCAGGGTGTGTTTGTTGATTGTCTCCTTGACTTTTAATGAAGCCTACAGATGAGTTTTCTGATCTTCCTCTGCGAGTGGCAGAGATCACAAAAGAACAGCGACTAAGAAGAGAAAGTCAGTACCAGGACCACAGAGGGAGCGCAGTGGTCACCAATGGTGGAGGTAAATGGTCCTACCTTATTTGGGCAGGGTTATTCTCATTACAGATTTAGTTACTCCCTTGGGGCTTAATGATTGGGAAAGACTCTGATGCACATTATGGATTGCTTACTATAATGAAACCGTTACACTTATCTCATTGCTTATGTTAATCAGCTCATCTATGCAGGTTGGTCCATGTCACTGTAGTTACTGCATGCTGTCAAGTAGCTTCTAACTTATGGCAATCCTATAAGCTGAAATGCTGTTGCTTACTGTATTTTTCCGTGTATAAGACTATACTTTTGTCTAAAATCTTTAGACTAAAAATTGAGGGTCATCTTATAAATGGGAGTAAGCTAAGAAGAGAACAAAAACAAGTGAAGGGGAAAGCGGGGATCAAAGCGATCCTGCAGCGCTTTGATCCCTTTCCCCCTACACTTGCTAAGCCCCACTTAGATTTCTTAATTTTGGATTAGAAAAGTGGGGGCGTCTTATTCACGGAAAAATATGGTAATTACACACGCGAAAGGCAAATGATGTAACATCTAGTCACTTCTAGTTGGCAGTTAAAAAGACCGCAGTAGGATTCTCAAACATGTGCTAAGCCAGTGTGCGGGTGCAACGCAGAGATTTCTAGCAGCGACTCATTAATTGCCAGCTAGAATTGAACTGAGTCATTTGCCTTCAAATATTAGTAATTGAAGGACAGGACTTAAGTCTACAAAATAGCACCCTCTGCCGAGTAGGTCCTTATCAGTAGGAGACCTCAGCTCTTGTGAATTCAAGGCCCCAGCTTCCGTTGAGTCCGTCTGTCTTATATTTGACTTTCTCAGCATTACTGTCTTTTTCAGTTTTCTTCTCATAATGTGCCCAAAGTATGAGAACTACAGTTTCGTTATTTTTGCTCCTTGAGAGATTATAGGCTTGATTTCAGTGTGGTTTAATTGTTTTCCTGGTAGTCCATGGTATCTGTAAAGTTTTCCTCCAACACATTTCAAATGAATCAAAAAATAATTTTTTGATGACTGCTTTCTTTGCTGTCCATTTCACTGGCTTGTTGTTCCTAGCATAGATTATCTTTCTAAGGGACGTATGAGGCAAAACAGGCCTCATTTAAAACCTCAGCATTGAACACTCTGCTCAGTGCGTCTGAAAAAGTGGTCTGTGTCCATGAAAGTTTATGACAAATAAAACTTCTTAGTCTTAAAAATGCAACAAAACTTGATTTTGTCTCTTTATGAAACTACCACAGAAGATTCTGAATTCACAGATAAATTTAGAATTTACAGAATCGTGACTCAATTTACACCTTTGTACATACACAAAAAGGTCTGATTAAGTTGTCAATACAAAATATAATGTTGGAAGTGATCCCAGGGGGCCAGTTCAAAGCAGGCAATCCAAACTGTAGGCAAAATGCTGAATATCAGAATTATGTATTTGTTTAATGTATTGGTTGATTTGATTTGATTTATATACTTGCCCATTTAACCAGAGGCCATTCTGGGCGGTTTACAGCATAAGGCAATAAACAAGAAGCAAAACTTCAAGCCTACAAAATAAACCAAACCATCAGTATTAATGTAAAAAACAAATCCTAGCATAATAGAACATAATAATGTGCATAAAACAACATTTAGAATGGCTGCATTGTGAATAATGGGCTCTATTTAAGGGAACTGTTGTAAACCGCTTCTGTTTACGTGAGTAGCTAGCAAAAAAAAAAACCTGTCACCATACAGTTGGATTATTGTTTCTCTGTATTTCATATCCAAAGTATGAAATTGTTCCCTTTTAAAAGATGAAACCAGAGCTTGGAAAGGTTCCTGCTTCTATTTATAACTCCCAGAATTCCCCAGCCAGCATGGCCAGTGGCTACGTTGACTGGTATTCCCCAGAGTTGTCCAAAAATGGAACTTTTCTAGGCCCTGGCTTTAATAGTTGGAAGCTTTCTCAGGTCAGCACCTATTACAGTGGGGTCTCTACTTAAGAACGTCCCTACTTAAGAACAATCCAACTTAAGAACAGCTCCATTTGCTAAATTTTGCTTCTACTTGAGAACAGAAATCCAAGGTAAGAACAGGAAAAAAACCTTTCCTGCTCTTTTTTTAACCTTAGGTCATCTTAGGTTAAAAAAAATTCTCCCCCAGTGGTAGAGTACGTATTAACCAGCTTTGCATTAGTTCCTATGGGAACTAATGCTTCAATGTACGAACGCACCTCTACATAACAAAAAAACAGCCAAAACGGATTAATTGGTTTTCAGTCCATTCCTATGGGAAATTTTACTTCAATTTAAGAACGTTTCAACTTAAGAACGCCATTCCAAAATGGATTAAGTTCTTAAGTAGAGGTTCCACTGTAGTTTCTATGGACGGAAAACAGCAGATACGGATTAAATGGTTTTCAATGCATTCCTATGGGAAATGCAGATTCAACATAAGAACTTTTCAACTTGAGAACCACCTTCCAATACGGATTAAGTTCTTAAGTAGAGACCCCACTGTATATAGAGCCGGTGCACCTTTTACTCACTGATAGTACACGAGCCTGCAGGCAAAAGGATTTCTCAATCAGCTGTGGAAACAACATTATTAAACCTGGTGTAGCTCCTGCGAGAGAAATCGTGCTTGCTCAGTCGTCATGACAGTTTGCCTTCTGTTATTTCCCTCTAACTGTAAGCCTTTTCTTTGCGTATGTCAAGTGGAACATGATCTGGATCAGATCGACTTTATTGACAGCTGTGTCACAGAAGAGGAGGAAGAAGAGGTGAGGCAAGCCAAGTGCATGGAATCAGACAGCCTCAGCTCACAGTTCATGGCATATATTGAACAACGGCGAATATCGCATGAGGTGCTGCTTCTTTTTACATCGGTTTGCATGTGTGTGTATTATGCTTCTGTAAAAGTCCTTTTGTTTGTATCGCTTCCTAGCCCGTGGGCCTCACTTTAACCACTGTGAAGACTCCCACCTGACTTCAGTACCCTTCCTCTTCTGTGGGCACCCCTTCTTTCTTTGGCCTTCACCTCTCTCAATCTTGCGCTGCCTTTGCGCTGGCACCCACCCATTCAGCTTGTCTGGGGAGTGCAACCCCCGGGATCCCTCAGCTAGCATGGCTCACAATGAATGAAGATTTGGACCCCTCTCCTCGTATAAAATTACAGCATAAGTCAGAATATGTCAGTTTCTGAACACTCAACCAGGATCCTTACAATGATGTGCCACATGACTCTGTAAGCACAAAAAATAATTGAGGATGTGCCCCAAGACACCAACCCCCAAAAGAGAATTTATTTACACCACATAGTTCTTACTGTTCACTGCAGACAGCTCCAAACATATCCTCCAAATCTGAAGAAAAATCTGCTGAGCTCTTTTGACATAATGAGGTGACCAACAGACAAGGGGACTGAAACTTACTTTTATGTATAGAGATTCTTATATCTTCAACTTCACCCAGCCGAGTAGTTCTTTTGAGTAGACCCAGTGCTATACTTGGAGGAACAGACACCAGGCATTCTTTCCTGTGCCCTGACCTCTTGTGGTCTTGCAAGCCTCATTGTTTTTGACTGCAGTGGAGCCTCGAGTGATAACTGGCTCTGAGAGACCACATTCTTCTGTATTTTCCTAATGCTGCGTCCAATAGTCTTCAGTTAATAAGCAAAGTGGGAAGAGAATCCAGGAATGGAAAGGCTGCAAGAGCAGAGCAACGTTTGATTACTGCCATTATTATTATTTTTTAATGCTTTCTTTTTCTTGGAAAAATCTTAAAAATTGGAGATAGTATATGACAGATACTAAAAAAAATGTGCTCTTTGCTTTTGTGTGTTCCTTGATTATTGTTTTGAGTTGCCCTTTAGTATTGTTGTACCTGGGATTGCTTCAGATGTAGCATCCCCAATTTTTTCTCAGAGCCGAAAGGATTGCAGACTGCAATGAGTCTTTCATGCGACATTCCTTTGCCCATCTGTCACCAGAATAAGGATTATGCATGCACCATTGTTCACCAGAGTAGGTTGCTAAATGGGAGTTTCAGTGGTTTTAGTTCCATTTGAGTTTCCCACATGGCACAGCCTCCATTCCAAATTTGTTTGCCAGAGATGTGGAAAGGAAGTGGGCAAGATGTCTTTTTCGGAAGAGCTTAAGTAATGGAGTCACCTACCATTCGTTTGGAGGGACGTGGTGGCACTGCGGGTTAAACTGCAGAAGCCTCTGTGCTGCAAGGTCGGAAGACCAGCCGTTGTAAGATTGAATCCACGCGACGGAGTGTGCACCCGTCGCTTATCCCAGCTCCTGCCAACCTAGAAGTTCGAAAGCATGTAAAAATGTGAGTAAATAGGTACCCCCTCGATGAGAAGGTCACGGCGTTCCGTGTGTAGTCGTGCTGGCCACGTGACCATGGAAACTGTCTACGGACAAACGCTGACTCTACGGCTTGGAGACGGGGATGAGCACCGGCCCCTAGAGTCGGACACGACCGGACATTTGTCAAGGGGAACCTTTACCTTTTACCATTTGTTTAATATGGTGTTTCAGTATCATATATCGATTTTGCCATATTATTGTGTGTCAGACTACTCCATTCCAGTTTATGGTTGCCGTTTCTATCAGTCTGGTCTGCCACCCCATTTGAGTGGTTGTACCTTCATCGGTTAATGGCTGAAGTCCTGTTGCTTAGTGTAGTGAGTTGAACTAGAGTATATCCAGTGGGGTTTGGGTGAGTCAGCTCTTCCATAAGTTCCATTGATTCAAATGGGGCTAATCTATTTCAAACCTACTTTAGCACAGTAGGTCACAATTAGAGTAGGTCTATTTGAATAAGAGGAAGATACGCTGATTCAGTGGGCCTACTCAAGTTGCAACTTACTGTGCTAAGCAACAGGATTTCAGCCAGTGTGTCATAAGCAGCTGGACACACTGGCTGAAATCCTGTCGCTTAGCAGGATAAAGTCAAATCCACCCAGGAAGCCTCAGTGGGGGAGCAATTTCTTATCCTTTAGCATATGTCTGCCCCACCCAGTATACATCCATGGTATTTCTGATGCCCAAGGGAAGGCAAAAGTAAAGGTCAAGCATCTGTAAAACATGGCTTTTCTTTCTTTCAAAGAAATAAAGACATTCAAGCCAGTTTCGGGATTTATTCTTGGAACACAAGCTTGAACAATATACTACTTGTGTTCTTTAGAACTGTACTGTTTAAAATCTGCCCTGTGGTATTTGAATGGAAAGCTTACAATTTATAGACATCCAAGCAAATTTGAATGTCACAGCTTTTCCCTTCTAAATTCTCCTATTACTTTGTGGCTCAGACAGAATAAAGCATTCCTTTCCAGGAATGAGAAGAGGAAGAAGTATTTGTCTGACTTTCATATACTGTAATTTGTTCTGTGATATTACAGGGACAGGATACATACTCACTTTGATCTCTTGATAGTGTCTAAAAACCTTGTGGTATTTTAAACTCAGACTCGGAGTGAAGAACCTGTGTCTAGCCAGATCTTATCGGACTCCAGCTTTTGTCAGCTTCAGCCAGAGTGGCCCTTGATTAAGTCTAATGGTGTTGAGAGTCCAGCAATATTAGGGAAAGCACCTTCTTCCCATTGCATTAATTCAGTACTTTGTTCATTCACTGCGACCATACTATGTTCTTCAGCCAAAAAGGCTTCCACAGCAGCTTACGAAAATAGGTAGTGTATCTTAAGTTTACGTTGTAGCTTTAAAGCATGACCCATAAGGAATAGGACGGCAAATTTAAAAACAAGTTTAGATTGCAGTTCTTAGGATGCCCAGCTAAAATGGAAACCATTCAGGTAGCCTGCTGCCAGACGACAAGGTAGACCAAGATAACTTTTATGACTGAAATCCTCTTGGTGCTTGTGGAGGAATGATGCCGTGACTTGCTGCTGCTAGTTGTCAGGTCACCAGGGTGTTGTACAGGTATACTATGAGACACAGGACCACACATGCAGCAACAAGCCTAGCATCTGGTCAGTCAGCTGGAGGGAGGCACATGATCTCTTTCTGAATGCCAGTAGGGTTGTTGCGTATGACACAAAAGGGAGCACGTTTTGGCCTTCTTGTGTGAGCTTAACCATTTTGGAAAGGCCAGATTCTTTAAATATCCAGTGGCCTTGGGGTCTCCTCGTGAACGAGGGCATGTCAACCCGCTGTAACATGCATATTGGGTAGTAAACTCCCATCTTTGAGAGATACTTGAGGACTCATTCTATCATTTTCCACATCAATACAAAAAAACAGAATCAGTGAGTGGCCAATACAAGTGAATAGCCCTTACGGGCCACCCCCGTCTGTATTCAAGTAACTATGGAGAGGCTGCTTGAATTTTTTTTCTGGAGGAGCTAACTAAAGTCAGTGTAAATGTTGGCTGGCAGCCCAGGGCCTTGTGTTTGTAACAGAGTGTGCACCTCACTGTAGCTTCCAAGACACAAAAAGGATGTCTCTTGACTGTGCCTTGTACATGGAAACAGGAATAGCACATAAAAAGCCATTTGGGCAATCCTGAAAATCCACTGAGCGAGACACATGCTTTAAAAAACTTCCATTGGATGGTTCTTGCTTTCTAAAGGAGGCAGCTAAGCTGGTACAGGAAAAGTTTAGGTGTTTGATACATTTTTGTGTGTGTGTGCAAACTCATGCCAACATACAATTCACTACTTGTTTCTAACCTTGTGGTTACTCGCCCTAATCTGTTAAGAACAGTAGGGGATGGAGAGACAGAGAGAGCTATCAACATACTGGATTGGGTGTGCAATGTTTACAGCCCCTGTGCTTAATGACACGTTGACTGATTTGGTGTGAATTTCCAAACTTGGGGAAAGGACTTAATGACATTGTACAATGTCAGTGTAATATTGATTCTTTTCTTCTTTTTAATGCACTCCAAACATTTCCTCTGCATCTAATTGGGGCATGTGTTTGTGATGGGGTAGGGAGACTTAACCTTGGTGTCAACCTCTTAAATGTAGCAGACATACTGGGGGCGGGGGAACGAGCCCCTGCTGTGACCGTCTGGACAATAGGAAATGGAAGAGCTCTTAATAAGCTTGAAATCCAATTCAGGGAAACATTAATATGTGCCCTCCTCTGTGGACTCTCATCTAAACTCTTCTGCATAAAGGTAATGACAGGGTTGAAACAGTGGGTCACATCCCTTGTGCTGGAGGAACTCTGCATGGAATAATCTTCTGCTTTGCTTAAAAAGCGGCATGTCCTACAATCTGTGCCTGAATATAGATAGATTATAATGTGAAGCGGGGCTAAAGCTAATTTTGATTGGCTCGTTGTTTCCTTCTGGTGGGCCTTTCAGGGTCTCCGCGGTCTCTTCCACTTTCTGTCCCGCAGATACCCCCAAGATCCAACATAGGCACCATTATTCTTTTAAAGCTACGCACAAGGAACCTAGCTGCTCCTTAATTACCCAGATGATCTTCCGGTTGAGTGCATTATTCAGGTTCCCCCTGGGGCTATAATGGGACTTTTGTGCACTGTGGGATAGTATCACCATGTCTTTGGGCCAGCTTAATTACAGCTTGTTCAGTGGTGGACTAAAAAGGTCTTTTATATTTCCCCTAATTTCCATTCTTGAAATTGCGATGGATCACATTTCATCTGACTGTATATTAGTTTTGCAAACCCAGTAATGAGTCCAGAGGATGGCATTGCCATTCAGCGCATACTTCAAGAGCAGACCTATAGGCAGCTGGGAAGTAGAATTCCTTGTTAGAATTCAGATTTAGTTAGAAAGGGGCCATTTTCTTAATGCCATATGTCAGTGTCTGTGAAATTAAACAATTTTAAACTGCAGCTCTACTTTTAAATGTGGTAGTTCAGAACATACCAGTAAGTTACAACATTTGGTTAGGAGTTCTAAAAGAGATTTGATTCACAATGGGTTATATCTCAGTGACAATGGCACTGGAATTATAGAATTCAGCAGGGTGTGAAGGTCAGCAATGGTTAGGATAAGTGTAGTTTTTGACCTGAAATCTGGCAAAGCAAAAGCATACAGTAAAACCATACGCCTTCCTTGCTCCATGCAGCTAACACTAGATAATGTCGATGCAGAAAGCATTATTATGCACTCCTATGCTTAACATATATTTGTATGTCCAGATACTCTACATAATTCACATAGCTGCATCTATAAATTTACTTCTTAAGAATTGTAGGCAGTACAAGAGAGCTGGCTGTCTAGTTGTTCTTTTTCAGTTCTTTTTCATAAATATTTCAGTTTTTTGCTGACCAATCTTGCAAATCTGTGTTCTTAGTCAGACATTTGTTTAAACGTTATAATTTGTTGCATCATAGTGGGTGGCTTTATTTGGAGAAGAGTGTTGATCTTAACAACATTCACAGCACACTAGAAATACTGACCTTGGCACTCGTCGTTTCTTTTTCTAAGGGCTCACCAGTTAAACTAATACCAACACGAGAACTTCATAGGTCAGAAGATGCAAGAAGGTGCTTTCATCATAATAGGTAAGTACTGTCATTTCATATATTCAGAGTTCTAGGATAAACCATGCTTCAGAGTATAGAAGACATTCTTAGTAATCTGGCCTCCTATTCCTATTTTGCTCATAAAGAATTTCATTTTTAATCCAGATTCCTCAAGTTTTTGTCCAGAATATATTGTATTACTTTCACAGCTGGATTCAGTACTTGCATAGTCCATAGTCCAGTTGCTAGTTCCAAGCAGGGTGCATTCATTAGGGCAGGGGGATTGATTTTAACTGTTAGGATTGGGGGTTTTGAAGACGGTATGTAGCCCCCTTGATACAGTTTACTACTGAAGTAACAGTTATACCAAGAGGACACACAAACCAGCACAAAAAACACGCTACTTTATACCTATTTCAGAATCCCCAGTCCAGCTCCCGATTCATTTCAACAGTGTCCCACACCCCTTAATTTACCTTTTGTTAGCTGATTCAGTTAATCTAGTCTAGTTGGGATTAGCAGATAGATTTAGGCCATAATGTTCCTGAAATTGTAACCACGGTTAGATCAAGAGAAGTACAGTGGGATTCCCACCCCCCATGTTTCCTGCACAGGAATGTCCTTTTGGCATGAAGATTTTGGATTCCCCCCCCCCCGCTACCTCCAGTAAGCATAGTTCAGTGGGAATTGCTACAGCTAGAATTCTGGTAATTTTAGCAAACAAACAAACAAACCCAAGTTGTCAGAGGACTTTTCAAGTGCGGACATGGATGGAACTTTCTAAGCTCCATGGGAACCTCAAAGCTTTAGGGGACAGTAGTCTCTCTGTTCCTTAGGTAGCAAGTACCTCTCCCAAAAATATTCCTTTCCTAATGCGTTACTTTTCCATAACTTCTGCGCCACCCACCGCAGGTCTGTAGAATTCAGCCTAATGATGGAAAGCCAGCTTCTGTTTCTCAGATTTTAATGGCCGAATTCAGGGTTATCACTCACCCTTGTTTTCTGATTTTATACAAAGGACCATGTTGTTGTTTTTCTTTTGCATGGCTAGGAAGGAGTTTGAAAAGTGTGATTTGGTTAGTATTGATATTCAGGACGTCCACAACACTGGATCATTGCTAGCTTTGAAAATGTGGCTTGCTAAGCAGGGTCAATGAGTTGCATTCAAGAGGGGTAGAGGTAAAAAAAACCTTCCTATGTCATGGAGGTATTTTCGCCATGGTCATGAGATGGAAAACATTCTGTTTTCATCAGCATATGGTGTGTTACTGGCACAAAATAAAAAAACATATCAAATCCTTTGATGCAAAATAATTTTGTCTCTTATAATAAATTATCTGTACCTGTAGTGCATTTTCTTTGTTCACTCTATATAGTAAATTTCTGTAGGTTTCCCAGCTCCCAGTTTTTTTGACTGGGAACAAGCAGCATTACCTTGTACATGGGATTTTGTAACAGATACTGAAAAAAAAATTTTACAGCAGAAAATGATTTCTCATAGAACATTCCTTGAAATTTGAGTCTTAAGGGAGTATTTGTCCCAGTGTAATACCTGGTGGAAATGGATAAGACATTATTAAATTAAATGCACTTCTGAAGAGGCTTTGCAATGGTTTTAGCATTTTAATTACCTAGCCAGAAATGGGCATCATGGTGATGATGATGATTCTGACCCAAGATCTTAGAAGCTTAAATTAGAACAAGGCATGAGAGCAGGATGCGGCCTGCGATTGGCTTGTGCTAATGAAATCTGTGTTGGCCGTAATTTTAAAAAAAAAGAGAGAAAGAGAGTTCCTCTTGAATTCATGCCAACTTTAGAAGCTGTTTCTTGAACATTGTAGGGCACAATATGATTCAAACCAGGTGAACGTTTCATTGGATCCACATTAGCATGGAGTTGGAAAGAGAAAGACTTCCAGAATTAGTAGCAAGATTGATCCTGCATGCTTTTTGCTTTCTGGAAAGCCAGTCCAACTGTCTGTCACTGTGTCTTTGGTTGCTTCTCTCTTGTATGGTCACTAGCCCCTGCCCAGCCCGTTCACTTTTAACTAAGAAAATATTTCTAAAACTGCAATTTCTCCAGCAGAGTCTCCTCTTGTGAAGACTAAACAGGTGGAAATCTGCCCCTGAAACTGCTTAGTGAAGCGGAGAGCACAGAATAATATGCTTCACTTGCTCATAATGCTCCTTGTTGCGATATTGTTAAAGAACTGTCAACCATTAATATATATGAGCTTCTTCATTTTGCCTTGGGTGTGACGCTTGTTCTGCAGGCCTAACAGAAGAGTTCATTTACTTCAGAACAGGAAAAACATTTTTAAAACAGCATATAAAAAGAGGTCAGCATTTGGAATTTTAAATGTAAGATTTTTTTAATGCTTTGCATCTTCCATTTCATGTTTAATTAATTTTTTTAAACAAGAGCTTGATCCTATAATTTTTCTTTCTCACCCTCCACCAGCCCCCAGTCACGCAATTGCAGTAAAGAATGATTAGTTATTAGTTTTACTTGGGGTGAAGGTCGTTACTTCAGTGGAAATCACATCCTTGTTCATATCAGCTGATTCTGCATTCCTGTTTTGAATTTAGATATTGGCTGAGCCCCAAAACATACCTGCTTTAGAATCAGTTTTCATTATGTTACTATTCTCTAAGGGGATTTTATCTAGTAGTAAGCTATAGCATTTCATCAGTATTCTTTCAGTCATTTTTTCTTGAACACACTGACTAAATAGCTTTGTTTACAGAGATGCGGATGAATTAAAACGACCTGAAAGCCTGAGCTTATCACATGATAGAGACCGACAACAACTGATAAGATGCTACTTAGATCGTGCAGAGAGGTAAGGAAGTGATGGGGAGAGTGCCTCCTGGCACAGTGATTATACTGCAGCACTGCAGCCAAAACTCTGCTCACGACCCAGGTTCAATCCCAAGTAGCCAGCTTGAGGTTCATTCAGCCTTCCATCTTTCCAAGGTCGATAAACTGAGTACCCAGCTTGCTGGGGTGGGGGAGCAAGGTCTCGCCTGCACAGTTAAATTGTAAACCATCCAGAGAGTGTTTTAGGTGCTGTGGGATGGTATATAAGCATCATGGTTTGCTTTGCTTTACAAAAATAACCTGTGAGTCTGGGCTTCCATACTTGTACTGCATAAAATACTTTCTTTAGCGGCTGTCTGCATCCATACAGTTTCTATGACATTCTTTATTGTGAGACAGGTTGTATATTGGTCATGTGCATGAGTACATGCATGGATGCATGCAGCTGTTTGACATATACGTCAAGGTTCTTGGGCCTAGAATTATGTTACACTGCTAGCGGATTACCCTCCAAAGCAGAGCTCCCCAGTCCGTGGCCTGGTGCCAGTCCATGGCCTGAGCTGGACCGGGCCGCAAAGACAGACCTCCCCACCCCTGCACGCACTCCCCCCTACACTGCTCCTTTGTGCCTGTGCCCCCCTTCGCACATGCCCCCGAGTGCCATGGTGCCATTTGCGCATGTGCACGAGCCCCCACACAGGTGCCCTCCCACTCCTTTGCACATATGCAGGAGTGTGCGAGTGAGAGCATGCATGCTCCTTCGCACGTGCACACAAGCACAGGGGTGCCCCTCTTTCCCCAACTGGTCCACAGGGTTAAAAAGGTTGGGGACCACCACTCTAAGGCAAGAAGTGGCGTTCTTGCGGATGCCAGTAAATCTATGAGAGCTTGCTGGGTTGTGATAAACTGCCTGGGGGATCTCGTTGCCACAGGGCAGGTTTGCAAAGTGGGTGGAAGGGGGCAGGATCTAGCTAGATGCTTGAGCTGGCAAAAAGGTCTCCACCAGCAAGTCTTGAGAAGACCATGGCCTCCCTCCAAACCCCTCAATCGGACCCAGCTCCCCCTCCGATTCCAGCTCGGGAGCACTGGGAAACATTTCCGAACAGCCGGTGAGCAGGGAATGCCTGACAAGAGATGGGGCACAGAAGCTGACAAATGGGTGTGGGGTTAGCATAGGTATATTCTCTGCAGTTGTCACCACTCATGAATTCTTCACTATGTCATTTCATTTGCTACACATTATACTGGCCAAAATTACATGTTCTGCTAGAAAAATGTAAGTTATACCCAATGTTAGCCTTTATTTTAATGGTTTGATGCGTGTAGGTAGGGAAAACGTAGCCTATTTCATTGTGCATGGGACTCTGTGAAGTATCAGGGCCTTAGTCAAGTGTCAGAGGGAAGAAAAGCTGACTATGTGCTTTCAAGATCATGGAACGATGCTGAGCATTGCATTGCTGTGTGAGAACACCTGGTTTCTATGTCTTTGACAAAAACTGTCCCAAGCTTGCAAGACTACAGATTTTTCTCTGGAATTCTTCAGGCGTAAAAACTATTTTGTTGGAATTATAACTGAAAGGGTTGAAGCTTGGTGCAACTCTCCCGGTATAGACAACCTAGGGGGAAAAAGCTTTATTTTGCAATCTGCATGAACAGTGTTTTATATATTGAGAAGTTGAGCAGAAATGCACGGATTGTTTTCTATAAAGATCTCTTTTCCCCTCAGAGGCTCTGGCGACTCATCGTGCATTCTGTCCTTGTCCAACAGCCATCATCAGGTAATAGACCCTCTGCATTGATGTGGCACGTTTAGAAATGCTCTGCCTTCCATTTAGCATGTAAATGACCTTTTGAGGCTCACCTCGAAACAATTTGGTTCCAGGTCTCCCACTCAGAGGCAGAACCGCACAAGAGACGTGAACATTTGGTTGAGAAAACCCGGAGAGAAGCACAGCTTGCTGCGTTACAGTATGAGGAGGAGAAGATGAGGACCAAGCAGATCCAGAGGGAGGCGGTCCTTGATTTTGTCAAGGTGAGGCCCTTCCAAGAGGAGGTCCTTCTTTGCCTTCTATAACAGGGGGTTTGCATTCCCCGTCTTGGGTCTCCCTATTAAGTCATTTTCTATTCCAGAACCACGAGAGCTTTTATGACAGCATTATAGTAAAACATCAGTTGTCTTAATGGACACAACTAAAAACCAAAGTCAACACTCTAAAACAGGAGGGGAAAAAAAACAGTTTGGATTCATCGACACTGAATTGTAGGAACCAGGAAGCACCTGAGAGAATGATGGAAACCTCTCCCAAACTCCAGACGGTGGCCCAGTGAGGAAAAGACCTCCCACTGGAGGCTGCACGTGATTCAAGCAGGGCCTTGCTCACACGCGGGTGTTCACAGACGAAGACTTTAGCGGCTTTGCATAGAAGGTAGCCTGTATGCAGAGGTCTTCAAGGGCACAAGGTACTTTTTCTGAGAGGTCTCTGCCCTTGTATTGAGGAGCTATACACCATGGTAGTGGTAAAGAAGTGTCTTTGGTATCGTGGCCTGCTGCCCCATCTCTTTATCCACGCATAAACCACCCCTTCTAGGGTTTAGCTCATACCTCAGTCTTTTTTAAATCCAGGTGCGTTTGTCATTTGCAACGATAGATAGATAGATAGATAGATAGATAGATAGATAGATAGATAGATAGATAGATAGATAGATAGATAGATAGATAGATAGATAGATAGATAGATAGATAGATAGATAGATAGATAGATGCTGACTTGGCTTACCTCTGTAGTGGCAGATTTTACACAACTCATGGTTGAGCGGTAGGTTCTTCGTTTGCTTTGTGTCTGTTATTTGGTAATGACTTCCTGCCACTTTCAATGTCTTTGTTATTTGTGGCTTTTCACCATCCTTTGAGCTTTGCCAGGGGTGGCTCTGCAGCGCATAGCATGGACCTATCAAATTACCTCTTGCCCTACATAGAAGAAGAAATAAAACAAGAGTTAGTCAAGTTCAGGAATTATATATGAAATAGTTTTTCTGTAATTGAAAAGCTCTGCCAACTTCATTGTTTGGGATATTATACTAGGATAGAAAAGCCCCAGCTGCCTTCACAAGAGATGAGGAAAAACATTGATATGCTTTGTTCCGAAACCAATAAAAGCTATTTCAGAATTTGAATAACAGCTCCGTTCCTTAATATTTCATGGTATTTTAATACATTATTTTGATAATGCATTTTGCAAGTGGAACAAAACTGGAAATGCTAATTTTACAATGTTTTCCAAACCACCCTCAACCCCACAGAAAAGGGTTCATTACATTTATATTTTTTAAAGAATTTCCATGTTGTTATCGCTCTGGTTGCCATGTATATACAGTGGTGCCTCGCTTAACGATGTTAATTCGTTAAAAAAAACCATCGCTATGGGAAAACATCGCTAAGCGAAACACCATTTCTCATAGGAATGCATTGAAAACTGGATAATCTGTTCCAATGGGAACGGATTAACGTTCTTAAGCGAAAAACGCCATAGGAAACATCACTAAGCGAAACAGTGTATCCCCCATTGGAATGCATTGAAGCCTATTCAGTGCATTCCAATGGTTTTGCGATGTCCGTTTTTGCAATTTTAAGTGTGTCTTAAAAGGTTCAAAAACTGTTTTAAATGCTTGGGATCGTTAGTGCACCTTCTAAAACGTGTGCAAACTTAATTTGGCTTTGTACTGACTCTTCATTAATTTTTGCTGAATTTTTCCCCTCATTGAAATGCATTGAACCCGATTTTGACAGCTGTCACACCTGCAGTTCAGTGCTTTCCAATGGGGGGGGGGGAATTCACCACAAATTAACGAAGACTCAGAACAAAGCCAAATTAAGTTTGCACGTGTTTTACAAGGTGCTCTAACAATCCCAAGCATTTAAAACCGTTTTTGAACCTTTTAAGACATTTTAAAAATAGCGAAAACGGAACATCACTAAGCGAAACAGGGGACCTAAAACTGTCATTGCTAAGCGAGGCAAGGTCCCGAACATCGCTATGCGAATTTTCCCCATAGGGAACATCGCTAAACGGAGCGCAAAATCGCTCCAGAAACCTCATCGCTAAGCAAATACATCGTTAAACGAGGCAACCGCTAAGCGAGGCACCACTGTATGTACTTTGAACAAGCTTCTTTTACATAACACCAACTCTAGTTTCTTTCTCTCAGGCAGCTAGCTTACTTTTACAGGGAACTAAAGTGATTTAGCTCAGGAATTGAATATGTTTGTGAAACAGCATTTATTATAGTGTTTTCATTCAGAAAGAAAGGTGGCTTCTTTAGATCAGAGTAGCCACTAAAATTTCTTCACAGTGGCACCAACTCTGGAACTTAAAGCAATTATTCTAATGTCTCTTTTTCATCATCAGGAATACTAGTTACTTTCCATATAATACAAGACTGTATACGTACCTTTTTCCCCCTTCTAAATTATTCTTTTCCCCCTTTCTAAAGCAAAAGGCATCCCAGACTCCTCAGAAGCAACATCTTCTGGATAGCGAGGTAAGAATTGAAAGAATAATTTCCTACACATTTTGTGGGTGATACTGGTGGTTCACAAGCACATCAGTGAAGAGTAAACTGTTTGGAGTCCCTGGAACTGACTTAGAAATAAAAATATTGAAAGTTAAAGAAAGAGCACAGGGTTTGAACTATCTTTGTTTATATTTGGCTCAGAAACCTTTTTATTACTATCAGTTTCCACTAAAGACTACTTGAAAGCTGTTTACAGATACGTTTCTTGATGCCACTTGAACAGCCAGGCTCTGCCTTTTTGTGTCTTCACATCCATGACAAAAACACTTGCTTCAGAGTATAACTATTTGGCTTTGGAGCAAGCTGTGATTCTTGACTTCTGCAACCCCATGAGCCTTTACTACCTGCAAATAGTCAAGTCTGGTATTGATCTGTTGAAACAGACAGTTGGTTGATTCTCTTTCCTGCCCCTGCTCCTTCATGTTTATTGTTTCCAGCAAAAGTGTTTGTACACCACTATGCCAGACTTTCTTGTTTTGCTAGTGGAAAACTATTTTTACAACTCAGAAAAGATGGCATAATATGCCATGGGTAAATTGGAAGGTGTTTTCCCATAGTCTGCTCTCTTAGTCTCTGGAGTGGTCTTAGATAGTTCTGTTCTTTGTATTTGATCTTTGGTTTCGTTCATGCCATACTATGTCTGAGTGTGTGTGTGTTCCTTGCTGAATACCGCCTTGCTCTCTACAGAACATATTTGGATACTGTATTTTGTGCTCTATTTTGGAGAAGTCAGAGAGCAAAATAGTTCATAAATCAGTTGCAGATGTGTTTAACGCTGAAATTACTAAGAAACTAACAGGGTTCTTTCCTTTCTTCTGTGCTGTTTCAGTTCTAGTGTACTGATTAGTGCCATGTGCCTTCAAAGTAAAGAACCTTGCCAAGATGGGATGTCTGTGTTTGTCTGAATATTATGTCGTGATGTTTTCTCTTTCTGACATTACTATCTCTCCCACGTTCCCAGTGTCCCTTTCCATCCAGAAGGTCTCAGCACACTGATGATAGTGCCTTGCTGGTGGTAAGAATTCTGCACGCAGTGGCCTCTTTATGTGCCCTTTTCCTAGATCGTAGTCAGCATGTCTTTCTGATGTGTGCAGATTAGGCCATTTTGCACAACTCTAAATAGCATAAAACATGGCTTGTCTTTGTTGGGCTAAAGCAGTTTTGCTCAAGCCGTGGAATGGGTTGCAGTGAGTGTTCACCACAATATTTTCCTGAACTTCCAGTTTTGGTGCAGTGCATAAAACTCTCAAGATCTTTGGTTGAAATAATACTGTGAACCCATAGTCATGAAGGCATGATGAATAAATAAGCTCTAAGAGGGAGGATCTTAGGTTCCTCTTTGCCTCCTTCATGGATTTTCTGAGGGTTAAGATATGTAGATGGCCATTCCTAGTAACAACTTCCAGAACCATCAAAAGATGACCCTCGTTTGAGCCATTGGCATTTCCTTGTCACAGTACAGAATCATGATGTGGCAAGAACTGGGAAGATATTACGACGAGCCCTAATGTGTTCACCTGAACCTATGTAGGGCTCGATGGGTAGTGGGGATGTGGATGCATGCCTAACCCCTTGCCCATGCATCCTGTGGCACCATAGGTATGTGAAAATCTGTGGAGGGCTCTGTAGCTGCATTTCAGCATGGCTACAGGCCACCAATTCTATGATCAGGAAGTCTGAAAAGGTAGTAATGAGAACTCTGTAGCCACAGTGAGCAGAAAGATTATAAAGTCCTCTGCAGATCTTCATTCTCAATGTGTGATGGTCTAATGTACTTTCTGATGTATAGGGATGTTCAGGGCAGGACATACATGCCTAGTTGCCTGCCTGTGTTCACACTGCCCTTTCAGTCCTTCTCACAGGCCGGCAAATGCTTCCTTAGGACCCTTTAATAGGTCATCTCATATAATCTTCTACATCCAGGTGTTCCATTGCCTAAATCACACATGATGAATAGTTATCCAGTAGTTAGCCTTGAAGTTACGGAAGAGTTTTCTTAATGTTTTGCAGTTGTTTTTAAAGCTAGCCCTCTGAGGGACTGGTGGTGATCCACTTGAGTGTGTTGTTAAACACTAACCAAGACTAAACACTGTATATCCCCCTCACAATTTGAATCAGTGAAGGCACTCTACCTTTCTGCAATGTGAGTTCTACTTTTTCCAGATATCAACATTCCACATAACACTTCCATGTTTTATGCTCTTTTCTTCCTTTAAAATAGCTATTGAAATCTAGTTTCTTGTCTTATCTTGTCTGTAGAAAACATCTGTGCTCTTGCTCTTTTTTTCTTCTTTTTTTTTGCATGATTTGCATGCTTCCAGTTTACTCATTGATTTATGTTCTCTGTAGTTTGGTGCATAAGGTTTCTTGCAGGTAGCTGGATTTTCAGTTTAGGAGCACTGTGAAATCTTCAGAAGAAGATTGGTCTTTTTATCTAAGTTATTACATTCAGGCAAATATTTCTCCTTTACCATGTGAAACCTGCCCAGAAGGAAGAGGTGGAAAATAGGTTCTGAAGTTTGGGGAAGGGACGGTTAAACTAGATGTCAGCATAAACCTTAACCTTAAAGGCATTTGGAGCAGTCTGTGGAGAGGAGGGCACTGTGAGATTGCAAAAACTTCAGAGAATTTGAATTTCATGCCTGCTGTAAGTCCTGTTGTGTTCAAATTTCTGGTTCTGGAAACGAACTCAGAAGTACTATGTACTTTCAGTGTCAGCTAATTGCTGGCGATTCCTAAATTCTACAGATTGGGGCATTAGCATTATTAGTGTCTGCTCAATATTAACAGTTTGCTTGCCCCAGTGCATGCATGTGTGAAGGAACTAGCAAAAAAAGAGGTTAATGAGTTCCAGTTGCCCTGTAAAAACTTAGGCCTGTTGCCTTGTGCCAGAGAGAAGTGGAAGAGAAGGGGGGAACAACTGCCCATTAATTAGGAGACAACTGGCAGATGGATGTTATTTGGTGGGAACCAGCATCAACAAGCCTGTTCTTTGCCTGGTACCATAATTAAGAGAGACTGATTTCAGCTGAACCACAGGAAGGAAGAAGGAGCCAAGTTGCTTTGAAGAAAAGTTATTCCTTTCTAGAAAACTCAGGGGTCTCACTGGTGGGATTGCATCAAAAGATCAAGAAAGGTGGATAATGGGTATAAAAATAGCTCAGATAATGGAGTAATTCAGCTTAATCTCTCTCAAGGGAATGCTACACTTGTTCTGCTGCACTCTGTTTGTTGTCTAGAATTATGGTTCAACCTGACTGTATTGTAAATATTAATGTAGGGTAGTTAGGTTTGGGGACGGGGGGGTTGGCTTGCTTGATAGCTCGGTGGTTTAGGTATCTGCCAGAGACTGGGAGTTCAATTCCCCACTGTGCCTTCTGCAAGATGAGCCAGCCTGTGTGGCCTTGGGCAAGCTGCACAGACCTGGGGTGCCCCCACATGAAGGGAATGGGGGACCACCTCTGAGTATTCTTTACCTGGAAAATCTTGGGAAAGGGTCACCAGAAGTCAGAATTGACTTTGACAGCACATGATTATTATTCGTGGCTTTGTTGTGGGGTGGTTTGTTTGTTTGTTTGTCTTCTGTGGTGGCTATTCTAGAATTGCCTAGCCTCTTAAATTTTGGATATGGATTTGCTTCACATCATTTTGATTTTCCCATGAAGTTTTGAATCTGTTTTTGAACTTTTCTTTTCAAACACCTTTAATACAATAAAACAATTTTCCCAGCTGTTTGGTCAGAGAAAGGGGTTGGTTTTGCTAAAGAAGGTTGCTTATCTTGGGATCCTTTACATTCTGCGTGTGTATTTTGGTACTCCTATCTGTCAAGGTTAGCTTTCGGTCTCAAGTAAGCAGCTTTGTGGTTCTTGGTAATTCCCTGGAGCACTGTGGGGTCCGGGTGGATTATGGTGTTGGGAAGTGACCAGACAGAAGATTTTCTCTAGCCCATTTGGCCCTCCTGGAAACCACCCACACCAGGAAAGCCCGGGCATCATGCCTAAGTGGCTTGTGTGGATCTCTCTGTCCTGGCCAGAATCAGCATGTTGCTGAAGGAGAGAATATTAGAGGGAGACTTGAGAGAAGTATCACATTCAGCTTTTTAGTCTGATCCGTGTGCAGCCAATGCGTGTACATGAATATTCAGCAATGGAGTGCTGCCATCTCAGTGCAACTCATAGAGAGAACTTAAGGCCCTCCCTTGGTCTAAAAAGGGGACGATGCTGGAGGGGATGCTGGCACCTGACTGACAGGAAGCACAAAGAGGCCATGGAAGCACTTGCTCTTAGTCCTAAAGTGATAACGGGTCATATGAATGGGTCCGGCCCCTCAAAATCATCAAGTAGACTTGGAAATAAGTTTAATGGTGCTTGGAACTGTAATATATTTAACATTGATTTCTTATTCATTTATTACTTCACCCATCAGGATTGAAATTGACCATGTTTTGACTGATGTGCACGGCACTTCAGGCGGGCAAGAAAGACAGGACTCACTAGTTCTACATTCAAAACTAAGAACAGGGGGAGCAGAAGGGAACAAGCAGGAAGAGAAGGCCGATGGTAGCAGTAACTGAGTATAAACAAACGCCATTTCAAGTTGTTGGGGTTCATAGAGTGGCGGCTGAATCATCAGAGGTTTTAGAGGCAAACAGTAAGCTTTTTGATGAAGTTGGAAGGAAGATGCCTTCCTTGAGGAACTTGCAGCCATGATGTTTCAGATTAGAGATGGACATGAAGTGCTTTGTTGCACTTTGTACGAATCTCTCCGCACAGGAACACTGAACTTTGCCTGTCCACACCCCCTAGCCTGGCTGGCCCATTCACCGGTGTTCACGTGCCACCAGAGTCCTTCTTCTCTGGTGGTCTGCCAATCTGGGCAGGAGCTCAGCTGACCCATCCCCACCTCCTCAGCTAACTGACCACTCCAACAAAGAGGCAGGACGGGGATTCTCCCTGTACAGGCAGTGAGTGGTCAGCTGGCTGACGATGCAGGAGCGGGCCAGCCTAGCTCCTGCCCGGATTGGTGTGCCACTGGGGAAGGAGGACTCTGGAGGTGTGTGAAGACTGGTGAGTGGGCTAGCTGCCCCGGGGGAGGCCAAGCACTGCACCTGTGGTGCTGTGTGCAGAGATTTGCATGAAGCACAATGAAGGGTTTCCTGCCCATCTCTATTTCAGATTTTCACGAGAGACACAAAATAATCTATCCAGTGACACATGCTGTTGGACCAGCTCATGGCATCATTATCTGTCTTTGAAATTCACTAGGATAATTTGTGGGCAAGGTAGTTCAGAATACCGGTGAGAATGTGTTTAGTCATTTAGATTTCCAGCTAAATAGCTTGTGAGTCCTGTCCTTGGCTGTTGAGGTGGATAATACATGATGCTCATACGGAGGCATTTTCTCATAATATATGTTACTTTGCTGCACACTGGAAATACTGCAGCTATTCTCGTTTACTTTCTTGGAAGTTTAATAAATTGAACTTCCAAAAATGCTTCTGTCTATATGGAACCATGCTAGCTGGGCAGCTCAGTGGCGTAGGTATGTGGAGCCAGAGGTTGGGCGTTCAATTCCCCACTGTTCCTCCCAGGAAAAAAGCCAGCCCGGGTGGCCTTGGGCAAGCTGCCCAGTGGTCCCAGGGTGGCCCCAGAAGAAGGGAAGGGTCAACCACTTCTGAGGACTTTCTGCCTAGAAAACCTTGAGGGGAAAGGGGTCACTTATAAGTCAGAATGGACTTGACAACATGATATGGAACTGGGTGTATATCCGCATGTGGGGGAGGGAGAAAGGGAGAGGGAAGAGGCTATGGTTGTTCATTGGTTGCCAGTAGTTTCTTTATTTTGCTTTATATCCTGCTTTTCTTCTAAGGAGCTCAGAATAGTGTACATGGTTCCCCCTTGGAATTCTTTCAACTGCTGCATAAGATGGGTTAGGCTGGTCATTGAGGATAAGCCTAAACCCATGGGTGAGGTTTGATAGCTAAGGCGAGATTTGAACCAGGTCTCTTTAGTCCTG